ATTCGAACAGAGGTCGACAGCGAAGCAGTCCGTCCTCCAAACAAAGATCCAAAAGTGATTCCATGCACCCGTCAAACCCCCTGTTTATGAATGAAAAACGGTTTACACACGACTCACAACTGCTGACGTTCGAACATATCCGGAACAAGTGTTTCACTGACGAATTTTGTTCGAACCACATCGCTATAAATGCTTCACCCACGTACTACAAATACAAATAATCGCCAACAGAACCTAAATACCTAACCTAACCTAACCTATGCCTATTTATACACAATATGCTAATATATTATAATATTAATTTATTTTTGAGAAAATTCCCGTTTTGAATTAACAGCATGTAAAAATTTATGAATGCGTCTGTGGGGTCGATCGCTGGATGGTATGGACTTGAGTCGAGGACGGGTTGCAGCGAGGAAATGACAACCATTTGAAGAAATGACATTGGTTGTGAGTCGTGTGTAAAGCTCTTTCAATTTCCGTTCAAAAACAAGGCGTTTGCCGGCTGCATGGAATGAACGTTGATCTTTGTTGATAGAGACGGGCTGAGATCGATATTTGAAGACGTTCGAAAATTTCTCGAACACTGCTTCAGTGACGTCATCTGTCCGCATCGCACATATGTATAAGCAGCACCCACGTGCTACATATACATATACTTGCCAAAACAGAGCCTAACCACCGAACCTACACCAAAAATATACATAAAAAATCTAATATATTAATTTTTGAGAGAAAATTTATTTTAAATAAACTGTTCAACTTTAGGATTGCGTCTTTAGGGACGGCCGCCGCTTGGACGAGCCTAGCCTAATGAGAGTTTCTTAAGTGAACACTGTGAATCCTATCCCAGCAGCCCAGCTCGTACTTAATAACTATTAAACTGTGAGGGGCTCTCAGAGCCTGTTGAGACTTCAGAGTTGAGTCGCTCAGGCTTCATTCTAATGACAGGAAGCATTTCTAAGTTCCATCAAATCTTTTAAGCAGAAAAAGCCCGAACGGTTTGACCTTCACCAGATTCATAGGACTCCGGTGAATGATGTGTTGTTTTCATGATATTGTGAAATTCAGTGTCCTGTATATTTCATTGACGAGTCAGTTACTGTCTTCACTGCCGAACCCCAGCGAAGTTGGGCATACAGGTTTGAGCAACAGTTAAGTCTATCATGTACAGGCACGGTGAGTGGGGGAGGCTCAGTCACCGTCACAGTGAGTGGGGGAGGCTCCTCCACCTTCACGGTGAGTGGGGGAGGCTCCTCCACCGTCACGGTGAGTGGGGAAGGCTCAGTCACCGTCACGGTGAGTGGGGAAGGCTCAGCCACTGTTATACTGAGTGGGAGTTAGGCTCCATCCAGATTAAACCCATTAAACCATGCAGCTCGACAGGGGATTAAGTTGCATTCATGAGAACACTGCAATTCAATTTACCTGTTTTGCAGTAATTAACAAAAGTAATGTTTGCAAAGTATTCCATGTTGGCGCAACAATGCAGGTATACATGGGGGGGGGGGATTATAGGTCATTTAATTATAGGCCATTTAGTTTGCTTTGCATGATTGAGTAATATTTATTCCTACTGGTGCAGTTGTTTGGGGGCTGTTGGGGATGTATTGTTGTTTAAGATTCGCTACTTGGAACAAAAAGTTCCAAGTAGCACGGGCTATGGTGAGCCCGTAGTGGACTTTATATGGGGGGGATGTTCTGTGTGTTGCTGTTGATTTAGGTTAATTTCGGTTAGCATGTCACAAAACAACCAACAACTGGTTAGTTGGGTTGTTGTTGTGGTGTGAGTTTAATTTGGTTTATTCATGGAAAATCTTGTTGATTGCCTTTGATTCCGTGTGATTATTTTATTACTCCGTTTCTCGATTATTTAATTGTAGTTGAAGTGATGGATTATATAAAACATGACAGGTTACAAATGACGATTATTATCTAACTCTTCAACATCCGTCTTCAAATGCACTATGAAATCACGTGACGTAGCAATGAGAAACTATGTCCTGGTGTAAAGGTCTACGGCGTGCGCTTGGCAGTATCAAGTGTGCGGGTTCGAGCCCTCCTTACGGCTCCAATTGATTTTCTCATTGATATATCATGTTAATGGGATTTCATTGTGCAGATCTCGTGTCGTGGATGGTTCTGGAACAAAAAGTTGCAGGTAGCACAGGCTATGGTGAGCCCGTAGTCTCTCTAGGGACAAGACCGTCGCTCAAGGTGAGTTCTCAAGGTGGTGTTAGGGGACAGCAAGTAGGAAATCCCCAGCATGAGGAGTTGTCACAATAGATGGCGGTCTCTATCCCTCTCAGAGACGTTATTTAGCATTAAAGGTGTGGATGGAAGTGGCTTCTGCTTCTTCTTCTCTCAGAGGATTCCACTTGTAGACAATGTACAGGGTTTGAGTACATTTTCATTACGAGTACTCATACCCTGTACATGAGTAAGGGTATGAGTACCTCCATACATTTCTTACACTCATTTGCATTTCCAGCATGCAGTTATATCCACGTGTTCTACCTTCTCTCAGTTTAACGAAGCTGCCCTTGTCCACCTTGCCTGTTCCCCTCAGTATCTTGTATAATGCTGAGGGGAGGGGGGGGGGAGTTGAGACGTCGTGCTTGTCTGCTGTATCTACCAGTCTTGCTCTCCATGTCTCGTCGTCCACCACCAGAGACCTTATTTATTCAGTCTATTTTCCCGCGGTTAAAATCCCACTAATGTTAGAAAGTTTGCCTTTGCTTTCATTTCCACTGTGGCTGCATTTTCCATTACCTTTAGGTAGTTGTTATTGGATTTGTTTACCTCGAGTACTGACCCGTACAGGGAGCCGAGCGGACAGCACGCTGGACTTCTGATCCTGTGGTCCCGGGTTCGATCCCGGGCGCCGGAGAGAAACAATGGGCAGAGTTTCTTTCACCCTATGCCTCTGTTACCTAGCAGTAAAATAGGTACCTGGGTGTTAGTCAGCTGTCACGGGCTGCTTCCTGGGGGTGGAGGCCTGGTCGAGCGAGGACCGGGCCGCTGGGACACTAAAGTCCCGAAATCACCTCAAGATAACCCAGACTCACGTTGCTCGGTGCTGCATCGTGCAAATTGACACCCACTGCACCTGGCAACTGACACTGATGAACTCAACCTGCGCAAGACTCCTCCTAATTGTCTTCTTACGTTATTCCGCCTATCTTCCCTTACCTTGAAGTTATTTCTCTTGCCACTTAGAGTATTAATTTTCCATTTGCGTTCCCCTCGTGCTGGCCCCATCATGTGTGTGTTTGTGTGTGGGGGCTTGGGCAGTGTTGCAGGGTATTGAGGTGGAGGGGTTGGTGGCAGGGACGTGAAGGTGTGTGTGTGTGTGTGGTGTTGAAGGGGGGGGGGGGGGAGGGGGGTTGTTTGTTTGTTTTATTGGGGTTCACAGACTGTTAGAGGTTGGTCATTTAGCTGTGCAGCGAGTCTTACATGTATATTGATTCGTGTGTGTACTCATCTATTTGTGCTTGCAGGATCGAGCATTGACTCTTGGATCCCGCCTTTCCAGCTATCGGTTGTGTGTGTGTGTGTGTGTGTGTGTGTGTGTGTGTGTGTGTGTGTATGTGTGTGTGTGTGTGTGCGTGCGTGCGCCCATTATCTCCACCTACCTTCCCAACATTCAGCTCCATTCTCCCTTCCATCAATATAGGAGATGATGGAATGACATTGTGTGGGGGGGGGGGGCACAATGTCATTCCATCATCTGCTATGTTAGGTGCGACTGCCCCCCCCCCTACCTCTATTCAACTGTCCTCCTGTGTTGTCTTTGCCTTTGTGACCAAACCACATACTAGAAAGTGAAGGGACGACGACGTTTCGGTCCGTCCTGGACCATTCTCAAGTCGTGACTCCTCGTCTGCATTCATAGGAGTGAGTTAACAGGGGCGGTGAACGGGCTGGTTGGTCAGCAATAGGGTGAGGTGAGTGGAGGAGGGGTGGGGGGGTGAGGTGACGAGGGAGGGGTCAAGCCCTGAGCCTGGGTATAGGTTAAGTAATAATTGTAATTAAGAAGCAATAAGATGCTTATCTTAACATACTAAGAAGGTTAGGTGAGGTCGGTGTTTTCTATGAAGCTTTTCAAGGTAAACTAAAATATTCACAATCAATTAGTATGTCACATATGCAATTATTAAATAAGCCAATATTGACTGAAGCAAGTGCGAAAACGGGTTGCTACGACACCTGTGTTACCCATCAACCCCCACACCCTCTCTCTCCCCATTTATCTTCCCCCACTATTAACTCCATTAATTATTAATCTCCCTCCTTCTCCTTCGTCTTCTCACTACCCATCTTCCACAGCTCTTCAGCCACTCTCCCTACACCTTTCCTCCACCGCTCGTCCATCATTCATCTCCCTTTCCACTAACTCTCCTTTCTTCTTTCATATCCCCCTACTCCTTCCCTTCTGTTCCATCTCTCTCTCTCCCTCCCTACCTCGTTGACATGTCCCGACCTCTCCATCTAGTATTTCACGCCCTGATCTCCCCTCTATATCTCGTGTCTCGTGGGATTATGGTCTCGATTTTCAGCGAGAAGAATGGTGGGTTGTAAGGGAGAGAAAGCGGCTTTGGGTCACGACAGGGATCTACATGCTCCGAGCCGGGAGCCGGTCGGCCGAGCGGACAGTACACTGGACTTGTGATCCTGTGGTCCTGGGTTCGATCGCAGGCGCCGGCGAGAAACAATGGGCAAAGTTTCTTTCACCCTATGCCCCCTGTTACCTAGCAGTAAAATAGGTACCTAGGGTGTTAGTCAGCTGTCACGGGCTGCTTCCTGGGGGTGGAGGCCTGGTCGATGACCGGGCCGCGGGGGACACTAAAGCCCCGAAATCATCTCAAGATAACCTCAAGATAGCCGTGAGTAAGGGTGAGTCAGGTGCTCCTTGGGCTATACTCGAGCACATGCGTTAGGGCAAGAAAGGATTATATGTTATGATCATTTGGGACATAATAAGACGAGCTGACTGCATCATGCTGGAGTGCCAAGAAGGCCCAGGGCCCCCACAGCCACACAAGAAGGCCCAGGGCCCCCCACAGCCACACAAGAAGGCCCAGGGGCCCCTCACAGCCACACAAGAAGGCCCAGGGCCCCCACAGCCTCACAAGAAGGTCCAGGGTCCCCCACAGCCTCACAAGAAGGTCCAGGGCCCCCCACAGCCTCACAAGAAGGCCCAGGGGCCCCCACAGCCACACAAGAAGGTCCAGGGCCCCCCACAGCCACACAAGAAGGTCCAGGGCCCCCCACAGCCTCACAAGAAGGCCCAGGGGCCCCCACAGCCACACAAGAAGGTCCAGGGCCCCCCACAGCCACACAAGAAGGCCCAGGGCCCCCCACAGCCTCACAAGAAGGCTCAGGCCCCCCCCACAGCCACACAAGAAGGCCCAGGGGCCCCCCCACAGCCACACAAGAAGGTTTAGGGGCCCCCCACAGCCTCACAAGAAGGCCCAGGGCCCCCCCCCACAGGCACACAAAAAGGTTCAGGGCCCCCCACAGCCTCACAAGAAGGCCCAGGCCCCCCCACAGCCACACAAGAAAGCCCAGGGGCCCCCCACAGCCTCATAAGAAGGCCCAGGGGCCCCCCACAGCCTCATAAGAAGGCCCAGGCCCCCCCCACAGCCTCACAAGAAGGTCCAGGGTCCCCCACAGCCACACAAGAAGGTCCAGGGCCCCCCCACAGCCACACAAGAAGGCCCAGGGCCCCCCACAGCCTCACAAGAAGGTCCAGGGTCCCCCACAGCCTCACAAGAAGGTCCAGGGCCCCCCACAGCCTCACAAGAAGGCCCAGGGGCCCCCACAGCCACACAAGAAGGTCCAGGGCCCCCCACAGCCACACAAGAAGGTCCAGGGCCCCCCACAGCCTCACAAGAAGGTCCAGGGTCCCCCACAGCCTCACAAGAAGGTCCAGGGGCCCCCACAGCCACACAAGAAGATCCAGGGCCCCCCACAGCCACACAAGAAGGTCCAGGCCCCCCCACAGCCTCACAAGAAGGCCCAGGGCCCCCCACAGCCTCACAAGAAGGTCCAGGGTCCCCCACAGCCTCACAAGAAGGTCCAGGGCCCCCCACAGCCTCACAAGAAGGCCCAGGGGCCCCCACAGCCACACAAGAAGGTCCAGGGCCCCCCACAGCCACACAAGAAGGTCCAGGGCCCCCCCACAGCCTCACAAGAAGGTCCAGGGCCCCCCACAGCCTCACAAGAAGGCCCAGGGCCCCCCACAGCCACACAAGAAGGCCCAGGGCCCCCCACAGCCACACAAGAAGGCCCAGGGCCCCCCACAGCCACACAAGAAGGCCCAGGGCCCCCACAGCCACACAAGAAAGCCCAGGACCCCCCACAGCCACACAAGAAAGCCCAGGACCCCCCACAGCCACACAAGAAGGCCCAGGGCCCCCCACAGCCACACAAGAAAGCCCAAGGGGCCCCCCACAGCCACACAAGAAAGCCCAGGGGCCCCCCACAGCCACACAAGAAAGCCCAGGGGCCCCCACAGCCACACAAGAAAGCCCAGGGGCCCCCCACAGCCACACAAGAAAGCCCATGGGCCCCCCACAGCCACAAGAGCCAAAGAGCGGTGAAGAGGAACGAATAAATTAAAATGTCTCAGAGCTGATTGTTAAATCTTAGCAATTTGCAAGATTTTAATCCTAGTATGCAAATGTGATGCTGCGATGCTCTTTATCTTTAATGATAAGGGGCTGCCGTAACCAGCTGGGGGGGGGAGGGGGAGTAGTGGAGTTGTTGTTGTTGTTGCTAGGAAGAGGGATTCCAGTGTTGCTAAAGAGCACATGTGCACTTTGTTGCTAGGAAGAAAATGTACACCCTTGCTAGGAATATTGTTTGCACTGTTGCTAGGGAGAGAGGGAGAGTGAAGGAGAGAGAGAAAGAAAGGAGAGGTGGAAGGAAGTGAGAGATAAGAGATAGAAGGGGATAATTAGAGGGGAATGGGAGGAGAATAAAGAGAAAGTGGCGATAATAGAGCGTAAGGTAGAAGAAGTAGAAGAGCATAAGGTAGAAGTAAAAGAGCATAAGGTACAAGAAGTAGAAGAGCATAAGGTAGAACAAGTAGAAGAGCATAAGGTAGAACAAGTAGAAGAGCATAAGGTAGAACAAGTAGAAGAGCATAAGGTAGAACATGTAGAAGAGCATAGGGAAGAACAAGTAGAAGAGCATAGGGAAGAACAAGTAGAAGAGCGTAAGATACAATAAGTAGAAGAGCATAAGGTAGAACAAGTAGAAGAGCATAAAGTAGAACAAGTAGAAGATCGTAAGGTAGAACAAGTAGAAGAGCATAAAGTAGAACAAGTAGAAGATCGTATGGTAGAACAAGTAGAAGATCGTAAGGTAGAACAAGTAGAAGAGCGTAAGGTAGAACAAGTAGAAGAGCATAAAGTAGAACAAGTAGAAGAGCATAAGGTAGAACAAGTAGAAGAGCATAAGGTAGAACAAGTAGAAGAGCATAAGGTAGAACAAGTAGAAGAGCATAAGGTAGAACAAGTAGAAGAGCATAAGGTAGAACAAGTAGAAGAGCATAAGGTAGAACAAGTAGAAGAGCATAAGGTAGAACATGTAGAAGAGCATAAGGTAGAACAAGTAGAAGAGCATAAGGTAGAACAAGTAGAAGAGCATAAGGTAGAACAAAGAGTAAATAGAAAAACGAAAAACTTTTAAAATGAGGACTTGAGCGAAAGCTTTGATAATTGCGAGAATGCAGGAATAATGAGAGAGAGGAGAGGAGAGTGGTAGGTAAAACAAGGAACGAATGAAGTAGGAGAGAGAGAGAGGGGAGGGGAGGGGAAAAGATGACGGAAGGACTGAGGGAATGAGACGATAAGATAAACAAGATCCCAAAGCAACACTGAGATAAGATAAAATACACACAATAACTTTCTTTCACCTAATGCGTGACAATTTTTTATAGAATATACCAATCCGTTAAAAATACGACGTATTAGTTCAAATCAAATCATCGGAATATTGCCGTTTTCTATCGCCCCTCGATAGAGTGAGTGGGTTGCTTGGGTTTGTACGTTTACAAGTTAGACGAAACAGTTGCATTTTTTTACGTAGCGGTAAATGTGTTTATTACACAGAGAAATCACATTAGAAAGAGAAAATCCACAGCAGCCGTGATGAGGATTCGAACCTGTTTCCCAGGATATTCCCTGACGCACGCTGTAGACCACTACGCCACGACATGGTCAAGAGAATTGCAACCTGGGGTTCTACTGCCCCCTCGTGGCTTCCCGAGGCTTCCACTGAAGTCGAAATTTCTTTTGGAAATTGGCACAGTCGTTTAGACTGTGCGTCTAGGAATATCCTGGGCGCAGGTTCGAATCCTGATCACGGCTGCTGTGGATTTTCAAATTTATTATTATTATTATTATTATTATTATTATTATTATTATTATTATTATTATTATTATTATTATTATCAAAAAGTTTTGAAATTGCCATAAATTTAATTTAGTTGTATTTTCACAATCATTAAAATATAAATATCTTAAACAATAAAGTTAGATCGGAAGACGGAAGGAGAAAGGTTGGTTTTCTCCGTCTTATCATTTACCTGGCCGCCGCCGCCGCCGCCGCCGCCGTGATTAATTCCCAAGTCGTCAACAGGTATCAGGCTAATTGGTGCATAACACGCTATTCGCTGATGTGTCAAGTGAGGAGGGAAACCGTAAATAATTGCAGACTTGATGATTGATGATGTTGTAGTTGCTGATGTGTTGTTCGTGTTGATGGAGCTACCTCCTGTATTCCTACCTCCTTCTGAATCATTTCCCCACTAGCACTAATACATCCCTGGAAACACAACCCTGGAAACACAAACCGAAACTGTCTCTATTTTCCGCTTGTTACAACTTGTAATAAAGTTGTTACATCTTGGCTTAACGTGTTTGTGACGTATTAGAACGTTGTTACAACTTGCTATATTGGTTGTTATAACTGGTTAGGAGGTGTTAAAACTTGTTCGAACGTTGTACCAACGTCGTAGTTTCGGTGTGTGTTTGGCGGGGGGTGGGGGGGAGGGGCTATTAAATGAATGGACCAGCACCACTAACTTCTCCTGTTAGTGGTGCTGGTGATGTTTTAAGTTCTCATTCCAGCTACATCTTCTCACTTCAGCTTTACTCTTAATGCACTCCTTGTCTTCCAGGCGAAGGTATGGAACCACAGCAAAGGTATCACTTCTTCCAGGCGAAGTTATGGAACCACACCAAAGGTATTACTTCTTCCAGGCGAAGTTAGGGAACCACAGCGAAGGTATTACTTCTTCCAGGCGAAGTTATGGAACCACAGCAAAGGTATTACTTCTTCCAGGCGAAGTTATGGAACCACAGCAAAGGTATTACTTCTTCCAGGCGAAGTTATGGAACCACAGCAAAGGTATTACTTCTTCCAGGCGAAGTTATGGAACCACAGCAAAGGTATTACTTCTTCCAGACATACAGAAAGATATTTAGTACGTAACTTCGGCCCAAAAATGTGGACTGAGAGTAACACTTCTCCCACGTTGAATTATATTCTGATAGACTTGTTCTCCCCCACACCAAACTTTGAACTATATTTTGACTTCATCTGCAGTGTTTTATGTATAAGTGTTTTATGTATAAGTGTATGTTTTATGTATAATCACCCTACTATGGATTATAATAGAGTGATTTACACTGTCATTATGTAGATTATAGATGTCGTGTATCAAGTAAATGGATGAAAAGTATTTACTAGTATCAAATCCACAAGGACCGTGACGAGGGTTCGAGCCTGCGTCCGAGAGGATCCCAGACGCTGCCTTAATCGACTGAGCTACGACATGGTAAAAGATTTGTGGATTTGTTCATTTGATGCCTCACGCTATTGTGATTTTTATGTGTATTTACTAGGATTTCGTGAATGAGAGAGAGAGAGAGATACGATCTCAAATTGAGTTGTTTAACGTGAGGGGGAGGAATGATGCGATCCTTCACACCTTTATCTTGTAACATATTCTATAGTCTGTTCTCTCCATTGGCCACTCCGTAAGAAATACGACCGTTTTACTCAACCACAAACCGAAACAATCCCTCCCGGAACCTATCGGAGCGTCAATATATTGAAATATATTGAAATATTGAAAACGTTAATATTACGATGCAGTATGTTTGCACTAATACGTAGAGGTTTTAACGGATTGGTCAAAAACGTACAACAAAATCGACGTATTGTTGAGAGGACAAGTTGTTCAATTCAATGAAGAGACGAGAGAAACAGTCACAGTTTTTCAAAAGACACGTTCAAAATACATGTAATTACAGTTTTTCGGTTGTAGCTAAATGTAAGTTACAGAAAGTCGAGTAAGAACAAGCAATACAAGGGTCCAGGACGGACCGGAACGTCGTCACATTGGGGTCCAGGACGTACCGGAACGTCGTCACATTGGGGTCCAGGACGGACCGGAACGTCGTCACATTGGGGTCCAGGACGGACCGAAACGTCGTCACATAAGGGTCCAAGACGGACCAAAACGTCGTCACATAAGGGGTCCAGGACGGACCAAAACGTCGTCACATAAGGGTCCAGGACAGACCAAAACGTCACTTACATTGTATTTCATGCGTGTCCGTAAGGTTATGAAGACAATTACACAGACACCCATTACAACAAGTCTAAAAATATAGAAACAACACAGAGTATACTGGACGTTCCTGCACCCCATTAGTATAGTTAAGGGTCTAGCCCAATTAACCTTGAGCCCATTTAGGAGTATGCTGGAGGGTCTAACATCGTTAAGTTCCAGTCCATCTAAGAGTACAAGAGAGGGTCTTGCACCATTAACCCCCCCTCAGGAGTGTGGTGAAGGTCCCTGCACCATTAACTTTCACCCCCCCCCTCCCCCCACCATCAACTTTCACCTCCGGACCGTGTCTTTAATCAGCATTTTTTAGGTTGCCGCTGGAGACCAAATTACCATTATCTCCTTATTCTGCCTTCAGGTTAAAAAATTACCTGTATTTAGGAGTTTTCTGCCCGCTCCTGTATGAAGTTACCTAGTTGTACTCACCTACGTGTGCTTGCAGGGGGTTGAGCTTTGGCTTTTTGGTCCCGCCTGTCAACCGTCATCTGGTGTACAGATTCCTGAGCTTCTCAAACACGTTATCTTATCTACATTTGAAACTGTGTATAGAATCAGCCTCCACCATATCACTTCCTAGTGCATTATTCCATTTACCTGCTACTCTGACACTGGAAAAGTTCTTTCTAATGTCTCTGTGGCTCATTTGGTGGAAGCCGACAGGTGGAAGCTGAGTAGCTTCCACCTGTGTCCCCTTGTGCGTGTACCACCCGTGTTAATGAGTGGTACGGATGAGTTACAGGAAACTTATGTGTGTGTGTGTGTGTGTATTCACCTAGTTGTGCTTGCAGGGGGTTGAGCTCTGGCTCTTTCGACTCGCCTCTCATCTGTCAATCAACTTCCCCTCCCCCCTCACACACACACAGTTTATTCAGTGTCAGCGAATCACATGTTTATTATCCTAAGTGCAGTGGTGAAGGCTGACTCCATACATTGTTTTAAATGTAGGTATGACAGAGCCCAGTAGGCTCTGGTACCTATACACCAGGCGATTAAGGGTTGAGAGGCGGGATCCAAGAGCCATAGCTCATCCCCCCGCAAATACACACGATTTACTCACAACTCTTCAAACCTCATTAACGCACACCTTCACAACCCAGACACAGAAAGGGCAACGTCACGGATGAAACAAAACCATTGACATGCCTCCTACGCTAGTACCTGTTACTAAGAACACGACGTAATCATCAGTATGAGGTGACCTGCACATACTGACTGTCAAGCCCGTCCTCCTAAGGTCTCCCGTCAAGAAAACGGTCAACAGACTTTCCCCCCCGTCCCCTCCTTCCCCCTCCCCACCGTCCCCACGAACCCATTGTCTAAGCAGCACAGATCGCTCGAACAAATCCTTTAGTCACTCAGATTCTGATGGGAGCATCTACGATACCTGAGAACCCAGCTGGCGCTCAGTATATTTCGCTCTCCTGCTTGGCTTGGTCGTTCCGGACATTCCTCGACCCACATACCTCTCGTGTCTGTAGTCATTTTAAATTTATCATCCGAGCACTTTGGGGAGGCCATTGTCAAAGAGGCACCAGAGGAAAAACAGGCCCAGAGGACATTAAGGGGTGCTAAACAAGAGCCTTGGGGTAGTTACGAGGTCGGTGGGGTGGCCTATGACTGGGATAGTTACGAGACTGCTCCGGGCTAAGCCTCTATACGTGACTGTACCATTCCTTCCCTCTCTAAATGTTGACTGTTCTTTCGGTGTTTTACCCGAGCTAAAACATTCGCTAATTGACACAGGTGGCCGACCGTCCGTTTCATCTGGTGTCACAACAGTCACAGTGAGCAGAGCGTGCCAAGGGCCGAAGATACGAGCTATAAACATAGACAATCAAGGAGATCCGTCTTTCAACCGTCGGTCGCATGCAGGAGCCTTAAACAGTTGACACCTTTTGGTTAGGTCTGGTGTAGCGGACGATCGAATACTCCTATAATGTATTGCGATGTTTTCCTACCCAGAGCCAACGGGAGGTTGATGTGTTGTTTGGGTATTACTTGACGATATTGCCTCTTGTTGGGCCCTCACGAGATGGCGCCAGACCCTCTTAGGAGCCTGGGAGAGATTGTTATTACCTAGTCGAGGACCGCCGGAAAACCCACCTGGAGAAAATTGCTACAGCGTCTCTCCTTTTGTTTACATTTGATTTTGTTCATTTATTATGCAATCTATACCCATGCTGTGGGCGGTAGTGGGCCCTATACCCGTGATGTGGGCGGTAGTGGGCCCTATACCCGTGATGTGGGCGGTAGTGGGCCCTATACCCATGCTGTGGGCGGTAGTGGGCCCTATACCCGTGATGTGGGCGGTAGTGGGCCCTATACCCGTGATGTGGGCGGTAGTGGGCCCTATACCCATGCTGTGGGCGGTAGTGGGCCCTATACCCGTGATGTGGGCGGTAGTGGGCCCTATACCCGTGATGTGGGCGGTAGTGGGCCCTATACCCGTGATGTGGGCGGTAGTGGGCCCTATACCCATGCTGTGGGCGGTAGTGGGCCCTATACCCGTGATGTGGGCGGTAGTGGGCCCTATACCCGTGATGTGGGCGGTAGTGGGCCCTATACCCATGCTGTGGGCGGTAGTGGGCCCTATACCCGTGATGTGGGCGGTAGTGGGCCCTATACCCGTGATGTGGGCGGTAGTGGGCCCTATACCCGTGATGTGGGCGGTAGTGGGCCCTATACCCGTGATGTGGGCGGTAGTGGGCCCTATACCCGTGATGTGGGCGGTAGTGGGCCCTATACCCATGCTGTGGGCGGTAGTGGGCCCTATACCCGTGATGTGGGCGGTAGTGGGCCCTATACCCGTGATGTGGGCGGTAGTGGGCCCTATACCCATGCTGTGGGCGGTAGTGGGCCCTATACCCGTGATGTGGGCGGTAGTGGGCCCTATACCCATGCTGTGGGCGGTAGTGGGCCCTATACCCGTGATGTGGGCGGTAGTGGGCCCTATACCCATGCTGTGGGCGGTAGTGGGCCCTATACCCGTGATGTGGGCGGTAGTGGGCCCTATACCCGTGATGTGGGCGGTAGTGGGCCCTATACCCATGCTGTGGGCGGTAGTGGGCCCTATACCCATCCCGTGGGCGGTAGTGGGCCCTATACCCATCCCGTGGGCGGTAGTGGACCCTATGCCCATGCTGTGGGCGGTAGTGGGCCCTATACCCATCCCGTGGGCGGTAGTGGACCCTATGCCCATGCTGTGGGCGGTAGTGGGCCCAATACCCGTGATGTGGGCGGTAGTGGGCCCTATACCCATCCCGTGGGCGGTAGTGCGCCCAGTACCCATCCCGTGGGCGGTAGTGGACCCTATGCCCATGCTGTGGGCGGTAGTGGACCCTATGCCCATCCCGTGGGCGGTAGTGGACCCAATACCCATCCTGTGGGCGGTAGTGGACCCTATACCCATCCCGTGGGCGGTAGTGGACCCTATGCCCATGCTGTGGGCGGTAGTGGACCCTATGCCCATCCCGTGGGCGGTAGTGGACCCAATACCCATCCCGTGGACGGTAGTGGACCCAATACCCATCCTGTGGGCGGTAGTGGACCCTATGCCCATCCCGTGGGCGGTAGTGGACCCAATACCCATCCCGTGGACGGTAGTGGACCCAATACCCATCCTGTGGGCGGTAGTGGACCCTATACCCATCCCGTGGGCGGTAGTGGACCCTATGCCCATGCTGTGGGCGGTAGTGGACCCTATGCCCATCCCGTGGGCGGTAGTGGACCCA